TTCTTTTCTTTTGTTTTTTGTTGTCCCCAGTCTGTAACTCCCACTATTTGTGTATGCGTGTCCATCTCTTCATCCCACTTCCTCTTCAGGGTCCCTCTCACTGTGTCTTTTCTTTTAGGTTGCGCACTCCATCCATTCTAAAACAGCTTGTCTTCGCCCGTGGTGTGAAAGCCATAAATTTCAACGTCCATTTCAGATGAAGCGGCGAGCGTGGATAAATGGACAAGGGCGCGCAGACAAAATCGAATGTGTCTGGATGCGATCGGACCCCCACTGTTCCGTCTTGGCGGAAAATTCACACCTCGGCGTCTTAGACACCCCCAGACCTCTCTGTCTTCTTAGATAGGGCTGATAGTTTTTTGTCTTATGTTGTTTTTCTTTTCTTTACAGAATATATACAATTTCTTATTCTGTTAATAAGGCTCAGAGCAAGAAACCAGTTCTATTTAGAATGAAAAGATGGATGGAAGTAAATGCGTCAAAGAACGAAAATCAGGAGCGATTTTTTACACAAGTGTGTAAAATAGACACTATAATCAATCAGAATCATTATATATACCCCTTTGTCTCTTTATTTTGTTTTTAAAAGAGAGTAACTTTTGAAAATAAATGTTGTTAGGTTGTTTGTTTATTTGGTTTTTGTGTTTTTTTCGTTTCCTTTTTTTTTTTGATGAATTGGTGAACACTTTGATGAATAAACATAAAAAATACGTAAGTGTAGGTAAATCGAAAGGGGGGGGGGGGCACAGAAAAGAGATAGGTATAATAATTGTTAGAAAAGAGACAATTATGTCACAGACATACTATTATCAGAAAAGAAACAGATATGTTATATTATCATAGACATATATCGTCTCTTCCACTGTAGGAGCCAGACAGTCTATGAGCCTACTTGCAGCCGAGGCTATATTATATTATCATAGACATATCGTCTTTTCTTCTGTAGGAGCAAGACAGAGTCTGAGTAACTATGAGCCTACTTGCAGCCGAGGCTCCATGACAAAGAGCCGTCCCGGGTAGGAGTAGGAGGCTGGGCCTAATGATAAGCAGTGCCATCGACTCTGTTGATGCTGCAAATCCGTCATTACGGCCAGTGGTGTGGCGGGCGGTAGTTGGAGGGGAAAATTACCTCTGCCTCCTCGTCACAAGGGGATCGATAGGGCTATGGCTGAGGCGAAGCGATTTCACTCATTTTACCCATCGACTTCTCTGTTCAGCGAATTAAAATCTGACTCGCTCGTTCACGGGGACAGGCGGGGGAATCTAGTTCGTCGATGATTATTGTTCATCGCGGCAACTCCTTAGAGAGAAAGAGAGAGTAGAGAGGGGGGGGGGGGGGAAAAAGAAAAGAGAGAAGAAGAGGGAGGCGTTACTGGCGACCACCAGGTCTCATCTGAGAGAGCTGGAGCTTAAGGGGGGGGGAGAAAAAGAAAATAGAGGAGGAAAGAAGTGTTACTGGGTTTGTTAAGTCTTTGTATGACTGTTTTGTCTGACTGATTTCATTGGCTGGTGAGGTAATAAGTCGGAGCTTTTCTTTCTGGATTTCCTTTTTATTCCCGCCCCTCCCCCTTCTTGCTTTCGTTCTTTCCGTCTTTTATTTCATTTTATATTTTCGCTATTCTTTTTATTTTTTGAGGGGGGTGGGCTTGGGGGGTTATTTGGTTGTTATTTTATTTATTTATTTTTTGTTATCCTCATTTCTCTTTTGGATTGTAAAAAATAGGCCTCTTTAAGGTAATGTCATTGTAATCAAAAGTCTTCTTCGCGCATCTCACTTCCCCTCGCCTTCACCCCCCAAT